ACCGTGGATGTTTAGAAAAGGGAAAACGAAATTGGATCCATGAGATAAGCAGAAGCCTCAATATTTGCAAGAAAATTGAGAGATTTTTTAGAAGCAAGATTTGGCCTCGCCATCGCCATAGAGAATTTTGTATAGTTGAGGGGTTTAATCACGTAAACTGAAATCCCAAGAATGTAAACAAATCCTAGCTAGATAGCTTTTAAAAACATGGCGTGCAATCTTAACCATGAGTTGTCTCCCGCAATTGCTCTTGCAAATGTTCTTCTGATCATTCCAGAACATAATCTGTTTTATGTGTCAATTTCCATAAACTTTACTTCAAACTCTAGTTATTAGGAGCTCATCATTGAGATAAAAGATTAAATTAACTATTTGCAAAGAAACTGGGAAGGCCTGGAAGATTGTAATCCCTATTTCCAGACGTCTGGCCCTCACGCAGACATAATCTTTGAGGCTAATGATTCTCCATTAATAATTCATCGGTCTAACCAAAAGAAAGGTCTGAAAGTTACCTGAAAAGAGAGACTTGGACAAGGCTTGATGGCCACCACATATGTGCAGGCTCCACAACATATCTTCTCATAATCCCAGCCCAACCATATCCCAATACCTGCTCAAAATAAAAGGCTCGCATGAGTATGAAAATTGAAAATTACTACACAGAGAAGTCATGGAATGATACTACTCCTGCCTACACTATACGGGACCTCTTCAATAAAATCAGAAGAGAAACACTGATAAGACAAAAACCTGGGTTGTGGTGACAAGAATCCAACTAGCCAAAAATGAAATACGCCTGTGATAAAAAGCCTTGACGATTGTCACAATATCAATAGCATAAGCAGTTCCACCACCAAAGCTACTGCCAGCATTAGCAAATACAGAGATTAGCGCATGCTCTTTCATGTTAAACGGCCCTGGATTCAATGAAAACTGTCTGGATCCGAAACCGGGGATCCTAAACTTCTTTTTTGGTAGGACTTTTGCCATAAAACGGCCTAACGGCAATGTAGCAACTTGAGCAGATATCATAGTTATGGTAAGTGGTTGGCTTCTATAGCCGAAGAAAGTATTAAGAAAAGAAAGAAGTACACATGATAAGAGTCCAAGAAACCACATCCGGAAAGTCCATACTGGAAGGGAAGGATCATCATGGTTTGAGACTGTCAGTCTCACTTGTTCTACTGGTGACTCTTCCTCTGGGTCGATATCTTTGGTATCATATTCATGATCTTTGTGTTTTGGAGCATTCAAGGTTGAATCGTCCTCACTTATTTCCAGAGATGCCATGAAAAAAAAGAGAGAAGGTTAAGATAGGAGAGACACTGCAGAAGGAAAGCTAAAATACTTGAGACTGAGTTCCTTGTGATTCTGAGAATGTTTAAAGAGTCAAAATGAGATAGGTCTGTTATTTATCAGATATGCTTCTCAACTGACACGTGCTTTTCTCAAGTTTGAGATACCACCCCTAAGATCTCGACTTGGCAAAAGAAATCTTCCGTTAACCTCTGAATACAATTCCTAAACTTTCAGAGTTTTGGTACTTCTGAATCCCCTCGTCACTGCATGCTAACTCAAAACATTGGCTACTTATCATAGTTATTAAGCCATCCTGGCAAGGTGCCCAGCAAAAGCAAACTGAACGAACAGGTCATTTGTTCAATCAATAAGTAAATAGTTAAATTAGAGAATCACAAGAATAATATTTTTCTTTTAATTATTTTTTATTAGGAGAAGATGAGATTTAAGAAGTTGGGGGAGGGAGGGAGGGGTTGGGATTTCACCAAAATAATTTTTGTTAACACATGATAGTGATTTTAGTATATGTAAAATTTATAAATAAAGTGCTTTTAACCATTAATTATTGTAGTTGATATATCATATATATATATATACATATATACATATATAGACATTAACAAAAGACTTAATTTCATTTAATTGTACTTTTACAATTACAATGAGATTATGTGGTCAAAGATAAAATTAAATTTTTTCAATTAGTTTCAAAGAAAAAACATACTTTTTTTCATATTTTATTTTTCTAAAAATAAAATAGTTTTTTAAATATTCAACTATTATCACATGACGATAACATTTTTTGTTTGGAAGTTATAAGTATCAATTGTGCAAAAAAAAAAAAAAAAGTAAAGAAACTAGTTTAAATGTACAGTTTCTAATCTGACCAAATAAGAAATTGATCAATCCAACCTGTTTGACCTGCTGATTCAATTAGAACCCCTATTTCTTGGTTGGCTTTTTTTCATTTATTTTTTCTAAGATATGGGGGTGTCAGGAATTGTAGATCAGGGCAAAGATATTTGGATCAAGTTACAGAATCTAAGAAGTTTTTTCAATTGTTTTTTTTTTTGTTCAGATGCTATTTGTTTTGATTTTAAATTTATTTATTTTGACCTTCAAATTAGGGCATAGGATCTATAATATATACTATTCACCAGTTTAAGTCTTTTAGAAGGCTTGTAATGTTCTTAGAACTTGACATTTGTTTAACAAATAATGCTGATAAATCTGATGTTTATCACACTTTGTTAGTTTTAAAATTACAAAGATATTAGTTAGTTATCTGTACGAATCTCAAACAAACACTACTTACATTAAATTAGTTATAGAGGACTTATCTGTACAATCTTTAAAAATAATCTCTTTAATTATCCAAACATTATCCAAACTTTTAATGTTACGCTGCTTGGTTAGTTATCACTTATCTGTACAAATCTCAAACAAACACTACTTACATTAAATTAGTTATATAAGACTTATCTGCACAATCTTTAAAAATAGTAATCTCTTTAATTATCCAAACATTATCCAAACTTTTAATATTACGCTGCTTGGTTAGTTAGCACTTATCTATACAATTTTTAAAAACTACTATTAAGTGCAATCTTTTAGTTATCCAAACTTTCAAATTTGTTTTTTAACTATCCAAAATAGAAACAACTTAAACTCTACAATAAAAATTCACTGAGACTGTTATTTCTATTTACTATTTACTATTTACTATATGTAAAAAGCAACTCTGTATTAACTATATATACTGGCACGCTATAAATTTGCATTTTATGAAATAAATATTTGTGTACAATAGCAAGTATTTGAATTGCAGATATCCGGCACTGGTATGTTACAGATTTACAAAATTTACACATTTTATTATAATTTAAATTTCAAAATAACAAAAACATATAATATTATTAAAATTGCCAATGATTGCTGTGCTCAAAAGTTAATGGTATGGATACGTACTGATGAAATTTTGATGTCAAACTCATTACTTATTTCAAATGCTAAAAGGATATAGATTGCTGATTATGAGCCCGAATCTAATGTAATTTATTAATTTTGTTTCACAATAATATTAGTACATTTATTAATCTACCATTCTATTTTATCTAAATAATAACATTTACAAGTCCAATTTTTTCGCATAATTGGGTACATTGAAGAGATTGATACAAAAGTTTGCATTGCACCATATGCGGCTTGGAAGTGCTTGCATGTTATGTAACAAAAAGTTTGCATTGATTGCAACGAAGTCATATATAAAGTACCTAATTAGTAGCTCACTATTATGCCATATTGTAATTATTAATTTAACAAATAACTAATTTTCCTAAGTACTACTAATACCATAAATTGTCAAAAGATTTGATAAACTTTTCCAAAATAGATAACATTTAATGTATTTCATATAAATAATTACTTTTATTTTTGTACAACAGATTTTATATCAATATTACCTTTAGGGATTCAACTGGTTGCATGCAACTTAAGGCTTTATGTAAACAATCAGAAATAATTTGGACAAAGAAATTGAAACTAAAGATAATTTTTATTATATAACAATCAGTTATCACTATTGTATTATATACCGCACAGATCTTACATTTTTACAAGTTTTTTATTTTAGGAAAAATGTATCACAACATCACTTCACTATACACAATTATGAAAAAGATTAATTTTTTATACACTAATAATGTATACACTTTCACTATTAGATGAATGACACATAATCTGAATGTAAATTTGAAATATAAATTTTGTATACGTATTCATCCAATTGTGATAGTGTATACACTATTAGTGTGTATAATATTAACTCTTATGAAAAATAGTGATTTCATGTTTACAACTCCTCAAAGTACCATTCAGTTACCAGATCTTCTATTAGTGCAATATATTTTAAAGATTAATTAGCACTACAAGAAAATTGTTCATCAGTGACAACACAAAGTCATCACAGAACATACAAATATCGTCACAAATACCTTTTATTGACGACATTTTGATTGTCACAAAGTCGTCACTAAATCCCCGTCGGTAAAAGTAAACAGTGACGACCTAAAATTTCGTCACTAAATAGTTCTCATTAGTGACGACTTTAAGTAGAGCATTTTTGATAAAAAATCAAGTCGTCAATAAAACACTTCCGGATTGTTGTCACTAATGACAACTATTTAGTGACGACCTGAAATGTCGTCACTAAATAGTTGTCATTAGTGACAACAATCCAGAAGTGTTTTATTGACGAATTGACCTTTTGTCAAAAATGTTCTACTTAAAGTCGTCACTAAAAAGCACCGAAAGCCATTGTATATAACTATTTTACTGATAACAATTATCGTCACAAATGTAGCTTAGATTTAGTGACAGTCTCTGTTGTGACAAGGAGTTTTTATTTTCTATTTTGTGACAACTTTTTTTTGTCATTAGATAATTTCTCAATAGCTTAATAGTCATAATTTGTCCTGTAATCATTGCTAAATCATTGATTTTAAACAAACCATACAAATAAACATGAACGATTGATAACCAAAAGTATTTGCATTAGATTACATGGTAATAATATAGCATTCTCAAATGCCAAATTCAAGTGTACATTACCCAACTAATGCCTACAAAAATAACATTTGTCCAAAATATCACTTGTACATAAGGTACAAGTACAAAAGCAATCATAGTTTAAGAAATTGAAAAACATCTAAATGAACCACTCCATGAGCAAAAGGCAATTTTGTCTTCAACGTTCTTCAACCATAACCATAGATATCTTCCAAAAGCTAGTATGAATAGCATTTATCTGTCATAAAAGAGTAAAAGAAGTAGGTAAGGGGAGGAGTACAATAATAAAGAACAAGTAATGAGACTTAGATTATTAAGACAAAAATTACAATTCATTAAGAACCTCATATAATTTGGGCCCACATATTACAACACCAGCAAGAAATTAGAAATCACAGTCCAATCTATACAAATACAACACTGCATAAGCTCAACTAAAGAGCTTTCTAAAACAGTTTTTTTTTATTTTCTTTCTTCTTCTTTAAATAGCTCAACTTATTGAACAATTAAATTGGACTCCCACAGTAATTATTGTTTAATCTTTATGCTTTTGGTTGTTTATATATTAAAACACAGAAAGCAACTTATTGTACGAGGTGTGAATACAGGAGATACTAGCCCTATTTGATTTTAGGAGTTTATGCTTCATAAATCATGAAAGAAACAATGCCTCTGTAGGATTAAACTGTGCAAAGAGAATGAGTTATTTGCCTCACAATGTGAAAGTGAAGACCATCTAAACAGGTGAAACCAATCAAAGTTCACAAACGCCCCCTTTGCATTATATTCATTTCTTTCAAGTCACTACATAGGCAAAAAGAAGATTGCTATCCATGCATGGTCTGTCGCTTGTACTTGGAAATAATATACTATTGCAGATGAACAATCAGATTTTTACCTCTCTATTGATAAACTAACAGCACTATATACATGATACCTAAATATTTCCCAAAGAATAAGTTCAGATAACAATGATGCATAACATCAGCCCCAAAAAATGTTATTACACAACCATCAGCCCCATAACCATAACCATAAACTACACAACCATAACAAAAAATAGTCCACAATGATGGATAACATCAGCCCCAAAAAATGTTATTACCACCTATTACCAAAAAACAGTCCACAATGACCACAAGTTACCAAAAACTACACATCAGCCATAACCATAACCATAAACTATACAACTATAACAAAAAATAGTCCACAATGATGCATAACATCAGCCCCAAAAAATGCTATTACCAGCTATTACCAAAAAACAGTCCACAGTGACCACAAGTTACCCAAAAACAGGTCACATCAGCCCCAAAAAATGCTATTATCAAAAACAGTCCACAATGATGCATAACATCAGCCCCAAAATCAATAAGTTAAAGGATCAGAATAGCAACAGTTCACATTAGTATTGTAATTCAATTATTCGTATGAGAAGGATGCATTACCAGCTATTACTACCAAATGCATTTCCATTGCCTTGGTTCTTGGACTGCAATTCTGCTCGTAAAGCCTTAAGGAGTTCCTGCATTTCAAGCTGCTGGTTTTGCATTTCAGCTTGTTGATTCTCAAGCCTTTGCATCAGCTGCTGTTGAGATTGGACTTGAACTTCCAATTCAACTGATCGTTTCTCAGCTTGTTCTGCCCTTTTCTTGAATTCTTCTATCTCTGCAAGTTTTTGTGTAATTAAACTAGCCTTGGAGGGGCCACGACCACGTACATATCCAGTTATACGCCCAGTCACCTCAATACAGATGTCTTCTTCGGTTCGATTTACACCACTAGATTGAGCTTGTAGCTGTAAGTCCTTCATTTTGCTCTACAATCACAGGTTTGCTATTATTGATATATGCATAAGAGACATGAAGCATTGGTATTAAGTTGAAAGTGATATTTTTCTTACCAGTTTTTCAGCTGATGTCTCATCAACCATAGCATTCTTCTTTCGACAAAAATGTGTCATGTCATCAAGTTCAATTGGTCCAACTGTCCTTCCCTCCTTAGCTTCCTATTAGCAAAACAGGTTAAATAACCCAACCACACATCATAAATGAACTACTTTACACGTTTACTGACCCGGTCATCCTTATGACGTAAAAATGATTTTGTTCCAGCTGTATGGGCAGTTTGCTGCTTTGATCTGTTCAGCTTATTTTGCTCACTTAAGGCCTACAATTGTCAATTCTATCTCAGAACAAATTTTTCGAAAAAAATTGTTGATCTCTACTAAAATCTGAGATACATCTTTTGACAGCATTCCTCTAGTTGCTAGTGGAAGAAGTCGTTGTATGAACACATAGTAGTCATGACTCTTCATTCCTAAAAGTTGACACTCCTTGGTCTTCACACACCGAGGAATGTTTGAAGCAAAGCCATCCGGGAACTTGATAGTGCTCAAAAACTGGCAGAAATTCTTTTTCTCTAGGCGTGATAAAGTGTAACATGCAGGTGGCATAACTTTAGATGTGCCACCTCCCGGTTGTAGATGCAACTCTTCCCTTAATCCCATTTCTTTTAAATCCTCCCTAGCCTGCAATGTGTCCTTAGTTCTCGAAGGGATATTCATTAATGTACCTACCAAAGATTCACATACATTCTTGACAATGTGCATAATATCCAAATTATGTCTAATTTTATTGGTACTCCAATATGGAAGTTCAAAGAATATGCTCATCTTCTTCCAATTTGAACTGTTCTGCACGCGTTTTCTTTTCTTCTGTTGCAGCAAATCAGGTGCCTTGCCAAACTCAACTTGCTCAATACGAAGAAGTTGTTGGAGGACTTCCTCACCTGATAGGGTCCTAGGAGGCTGTCTATGTTCTCTTTCTCCATTAAATTGCTTTTTTTCTCGACGCTATTTATGATCAATAGGTAGAAAACGGCGATGGCCCATGTAACAACATTTGTGACCATTATTAAGATATAGACTAGTCGTCTCATCTAAGCACACAGGACATGCCTTGTACCCTTTTGTACTCCATCCCGACAAATAGCCATATGCTGGAAAATCGTTTATTGTCCACAAAAGTGCTGCACGTAACATGAACTTCTCCTCCCTGAAGGCATCATATGTCTCCACACCAGTGGCAAATAACTCTTTTAACTCATCAACTAGTGGTCTAAAGAATATGTCAATGTCATTTCCAGGTGCTTTGGGACCAGGAATAATCATTGATAGGAAAAAAAATGGATCTTTTAAGCATTTCCAAGGAGGTAGATTGTAAGGAACAAGGATAACAGGCCATATACCGTATGAATTGCTCATGGTTCCAAAGGGATTAAAGCCATCACTAGCAAGTCCTAGCCTCACATTTCTAGGATCTTCAGCGAAGGACTTGTGATTTCTATCAAAATCCTTCCAAGCTAATGAATCAGCAGGGTGTCGCATCATGTTCTTATTATCTACATGTCTCTCCTTATGCCACCTCATATCCCGAGCAATCTCTTTGTTCACAAACAGTCTTTGCAGCCTTGGTTTTAATGGAAAATAACCCAACACCTTTCTAGGTATTTTGGAATTTGGAGATTTTTCCGCGGTGCTTTATATTTTTCATTTGGACAATGATCAAGGCCTTTATTTTCATTCCAAAAAAGTGCGCAATCATTTTCACAGGCGTGGATCTTTTCACACTTCAGCCCCAACTCACGGATGAAATTTTTTGCCTCGTAATATGAACTGGGAATCAAAGCTGTAGGAAATACTTGATGCAAGAACTTCAGCAACATATCAGTAGATTTACAAGTCCACCGATTCATTGTTTTCAAGTGGAGGATATGGACAATAAACGAAAGTTTTGAATACTTTTCACAGTCCAGGTATAGAGATTTTTCAGCCTCCGATAATAATCTGAGAAACCTACTTGCTTCTCCTTCTTTCTCGGTACAAGCACCTGTATCAAGTTCCGGTGAATGTCTCCAACTCTCACCAAAGTTAGCAACTCCTACATCATTTAACAGCTCCTCCATACTGTCAAAGTCACTATCGTTGTCATTTATTTCTATGTCATCATTCTCATCATCAGATTCAAACCCTTCGCCATGATATATCCACCTAGTATAACTATCAACAATTCCTCGACACAAGTGATTGGCCATGACTTCCTTAGTTTGATCCTCAAAATTATTGCATACTTTGCAAGGACATGGCAGTTTACAATTAGGATCCTTGCTTAGAAAAGCAAACTTAATAAATTCATCAACTCCATCTAAATACTTGGGGTCTAGGTAGTTCTTAATAGACATCCAACTCCTGTCCATATTGTTGTAGCCCTTTATCCTACCATAAAGAATATGACCGCCACATTATATAGAAAACAAATGCAATGTAATATGAACTAAATTTAAACTCCTCAAATACCAGCAATGGGATCCAAGGTGTAAAACACATTTTTAGCAAAAATCAACCATCTCAAGTACAAATGCATTAGTAAGGCAACAAACTAAATAGAATCTGCAGCCACAGTATACATGCAAAAGTTTGGCAAACAAAAGATAAAGCCATAACATGAATAATCAATTTCATAGGCTGATTTTGCTAGCTAACAGCACACTACATGTTCAAAAAACATAGGATCAGGCATCATATATTTGTAAAGGGAAGATGCCCAACGCAGAAATAATAGAAGAGTAAAGCACAAATATAAATTTCAAGCCTGAATAATGGTAAGAAGGAACAGTACCTGAAACTCAGACCACTCAATTGGTTTCCTTTTCCTACCAAGAACAGGAGCTATTTGCAATCTTAGCACCGCTCCAGATGCAGTAGTATGTGCCTTTACAAGAACCTCCTTATATCTGGTCTGAAATGCAACTGGGAGAAAACGTCCAGTGCTTTTGTTACCAACCCTGTTTATCAAGAATATCCCCAATTATATGGTAAGCCACTAATGTAAGGACTTGAATACAAGGCATAGACCTTCTCCACCAGCCTCTTTAACATCCATTAAAGATAAATTTAGCATCTCCTTTTAACAAACTTAGAATCTGGAGTATCTTGAGGAAAAAGGGGACTTTGAGCATAATCAATTTACTAACAAGAAAGACAGGTTTTCAAATTGCTCATATCTTTTAAGGAATACGTGACTTTGAACTAAATATGAGAACATCCAATTCCAGGTTAGTGAAAGTCCTTAAAGCTTCCACTGATGGCTATGCGCTTTACAATTAGCCTGAAATTGACTCATCACAGTTCCTAATGTCCTACCTGAGCTCGGTCAAGTAAATTGAAAAACAAACCATAGCTAAATGAAATTGTGGTCACCGGCTAAGATCAGAAAGTCAATATTTTGAATTTATTTGAAGTAATTTATAGAAGTTAGTTCAAGAATAAATTCTTTTAAAGTTTCCAAAAATTAAGGATGAGCTTTCTTGAGTGGAATGAAAAAAATAATTTTTTCAAGCTTCAAAGTTTTCAAAAACAAGAATTTTTCAAGTAGATGGTAAGTTTTTATTTATAATATGAAATTAAGTTATTATGATTTTTATTTATAACATAGTAAAGATAAATTTTTTAAAAGAAACTCATAAAAGATCGAGCTAATGATAGCTCGCAAATTATTTTACGAAAATAAAAAAACTTCAGTTACTTACATTGGAAAAGATGTATTTAACAAAATTGATAATGAATTCATTTTGTAACGCTTTAAGAAAATTAGTACTCGTGGAGCACAATTATAATTTATATGTAACGTTAGTAGTTTTTATTGTTTATTTTTTACAAAATAAAAAATTTTACTATACTAAAATTTGATCTCACTTACCGTAGGATCTTGGTTCCCCCCTTGCCTAACGCGGTGGAGATAGTTCATGGATAAAAGAATCAATCCGTTGGGATAAATAGAAGTAGTAATCAACTACCTATGCTCAATTTTTAATTGCATTAAAATGGATCAAATTCTTTAATGGACATTAGCACTTTCTTTTGAGACATCATTACATTAGCTTATATAATGGATAAGCATTACTACCAAATGTTCTTTTTAGACTTTTGGGGCATTATCAATAAGGTGTTTGTGGGCACCTAAATATACAATATGCTTCGGGGATTTGAAGCCAAAATAGCAATTGGTTGAGAGATTTAGTAGTGGACATGCCCTGTTAGTGTTAATGATTCAAGACTAGCCAATTACATTTTTATGTTACACATCAAAAAGCAAATTTTTAGCAAAAGCTGTAATGTTTTACTACCTTACTAGTAGATTTTATCGTGGTCCAAATTCCTGTGTTTATGAGTCGCTATGTGCTAATCTAACAAACACGCAAACACGTGAATGGCTGTAGACTTTAATCTGCTATAATCATAGCTTATGCTCCACTTCGGAGGATTAATGCTGTACATAATCAATATAACTATGCTACTTATTAAGCCATCAAAAGTGCAGATTTCAGATATAGGGTGTTAATTTAACCCTTCGATCCCTATATACAAAAACCAGAATTTTCTTTTTAAAAAAACAATACCAGAATTTATTGCAATGCAACTGAAAATATTAGACAAAATAGACCCACTGAGACTAGAGTCTTGGTTGCTGCTAATTCACAAGAACTGGGCAGTGGACATAAATGATTCCTTCGTCCATTCCCTCAATTTCTGTCCCCTTTCATGGCAACCTTATTGGATAAGGGGATATATACCCAAGAAAACGAAAAAGATTTTGGTCACGGTTACACCTAACTCTCAACCAAGACATGTATTACGTAATTAGCAATAGGGCCACAAAAATTTAATATATCAGTATTTCCAACGACAGCAAACCAAAACCATGGAAGCTCAAAACTTCGCTTACTGGGTAAGCCTACAAAAATTAATTGCGCTGTCAATGAAATAACCTTGAACTACTCACCTAATTGGCCAGTTATTTAAACAAAACTCGATCCCTTCTCTCGGAATGCCCAACATAGGCTTCCATTCCAATTTTCAACAATTCTGTCTCCTCCCTCTTTAATGCATTCCAGAAAATAAGGAGCACTGGCTCCTCGGACCATCCTAAACTACCCTAACCTGTGGTCAGATAACCCGAAATATTGAAGCTAAAACAAGTAGCTACACAGCTTAATCCAGGCGACTCAGTAGCGATAACAAAAAGGATCTTACATATTAGGGATTTGGAAAAATTGGGGAAAATGTATAGGAGAGAGAAAAATGAACCTTTCCAATGAAAACCTTGTACTTTAATGCTGGACAGCCATGGTGATGCTAGTGAGAAGCCAGAGAACGGATTTGTTGTGTGGGTGAAAGTATCAGGCCGTGCGGAAGCTCTGTTTTGTGCTCAGTGCTCTGTTTTGGTGCTTAGTGCAGAAGCTTTTGTTTACTTCAGCTCGGTGAAAGTTTGTCTCAAGTGTTCCGTTGCTTTAAGTCAGACCAAGTGTTCCGTTGCTTTTGTTTTCAGAATGTGTTCCGCTGCTTTGGTCTTTGCTTTGCTTTGGATATTGTTTTTGTTGCGCGGCACTTTCACTATGATTTGATCAAAATTTTGACTTCACTCATTTTCCCTCCATTTGATACCAAAAATCATGTTTTTTTCTAGATTTGTAATATGGTTTGAACCATAGATTTTAATGCTATAGTATTATTCTTTATTTTTTAGCAAAAAATAAAAATTTTCATCAACATAGGTGGCAAAATTTGTTAATTTCATATAATTGAAAATGTACTTTTATAATTTGCTAATATTTTATACTAATTTCTTATAATTGCAGCACTAAAGAACATCATGTAATTGAAAATAATTAAACTCAAATTATATGGTTATAACATAGTTTCAATAAAAATAATCATTTTCCCAACATTTGAGACCAATCATCATGCTTTTTTTTATTTTTAATTTGGTTTGAAGCATAGATTTTATTGCTATAGTATTATTCTTTATTTTTTAGTACAAAAACACAAATTTTCATCAATATAGGTGGCAAAATTTGTTAATTACATATAAGTGAAAATATACTTTTATAATTTGCAAATATTTTAGCCCTGCAATTTTTTATAATTGCAGCACTAAAGTACATCATTAATTGAAAATAACGAAAGTCAAATTGTATGGTTATAACAGACTTTCATTAAAAATAATCAAATGCTATTAATAAGACATTATTGTTAAGTCAAAATCAAAGAAAATTTAGTGATGACATAATGTTATCACTAATTTATTCAAGATTATAATGACAACAAAAGTCGTCACTAATTAAATTGCTAGTTTTTAATATTGTCAATTGCTAGTTTTTAATACTTTT